GCTTATTCAGAGTCCTGCTCAATGGCTTACAATTAAAACAATGTCACAATATTACAAACAAGCCATTAAATTGGACTGCCTGACCAATATTCCTCAATAATAGAAACTACGAACATCTAATTCAGCCCTGTAAAAATGCCACTCCTGACTCAGTGATTATCATATATGTAATATATCAATGAGCAGAGTTCTAGAATTCACTGCCACCAGTTTCCCATAAATGAGACAGAGAGAGAGAGCATTCCGAAAAGAGCCACCTAGTAATCTTAGTGAAACTGAACTTTTGTCCTAGGTCTTCGATGAGTCGAGATAACATTTTATATACTGTTTCCCATTGAACTGTCATTTCACCATTTGAAAGCTGCAGCATTAAGACTGTACTTGAAGATCTAGAATAACAGTAGCACAAAGAGCCACATCATTATGTGGTAATTCTCTTAAAGCAACAGCATGTAAAAGGTCTTTTCTAGGGGCTGTCACAGGTCTTTGAAATTGTCATGCATCCCTCCTTGTTCAACATTGTTCAACACTTATATATATAAAGGTTCAAGAAGGCATCTCACATTCTGTGTCCCTAAATGTCTAGAAGTCACTGCTTTGGAGCAAACAGCTATTAAACTCACAACATTTTGGAGGGACTTGTTCTAGGGCTTGTTTCTCACAGACTCAAGTAATACGACAAGTAACAGCCATGTAGTATTTCCTCAGTTGCCCGAGGACTATCAAAGACCAGTCGATAAAGGAAGACATGAACTTAGGCATCCATTCCCCATCTTTCCACCACCCTCCCTGTGTGATCACTGGGTATACTGAAAGTATGGTTAAAGGCTTTTTTCATATATAAAAATGTTTTTGCACTTGCTCCCCAAGCCAAAATCAAGAAAGATATAACTTTCTCTTAGCAGGATTTAAGAGTGATTGAAGAGACTGCTGTTTCTCAGCCTAGGCAAGCAACTATTACTAGCAGAAAACAGATTAGTCACTTGAAATCTTGAAGTAAGAGGAAAGGCAGGATATAAGTATTTAAAATAAAATATAAGAAAACTAGTTGTGCTTTAGCTATGGTAAGAATCAGCTGCTGTATACTTGGCTCCTGTAAGAACTGGTAAAGGAAGGATGATGCCACTGACTACATGGCATTCAAAAGTCTGAAATATTGGTATTCTAAAAATATTTCTTCATGAAAATATTCTTCATGGAAATGCTCATTCTTCAGGGGCATAGTGTTTCCGTGGCGAGAATTATGCTAACTACATAGACAGTCTCAGCATCAGGGACATGCAATACTGGCATTACACACTTCAGTACATTTTTTTTCACTAGGGGTATGCAAAGAAACCTGGTATTTTTCAAGTTTGGGTATACTGAACCCGAAAAATATTGGTATTTCCCAATATTCCCAAATCTCAATACCAGTATGGTATTCAGATTCAGGAAATATTTGCTTTTGCTGATTTTTTTGGGCTCCATTATACCCTATGGGGACCATTATATTCAAAGGTCCCCATAGGCTATAATGGAGAATTGATATGGGGTATCTGGGGTTAGGGGGCTGTTTTTTGAGGTAGAGGCACTAAATTTGCAGCATAACTTTTGATCCCTCTTCTCAAACCCCCCCCCCCCAGTTTCAAAAAGTTTGGCCAGGGGTCCAATTCTATGGGCCCCCATCCTCCATTGTTTCCAATGGAGGGGGAAAAGGCATTTAATGAGATCATGGTTCCTTAAAATACCTTCTTCAAGCTGTCTGGCTCCACAGTGAGTGAACTCCAAAGGCATTTAAAGGGCACACAGTCCCTTTAAATGCTTCCTCCAAGCGGAGAGTTCATTCCAAAGGCATTTAAAAGGACTGAGAGCCCTTTAAATGCAGCTATCCTGTGGTTCTGAAAAATCCTGAATATTTTCCGGATCTTTTGGGTTGGTCATTTTTAGATAGCTGGATAAGTAGCCCACTGGCTGAAAAAATACCCCCAAAATACCAATAAGGTATTTTTCGAGGTGGTGGTTGGTGGTGTTTGGTTTATGCTGAATGCACACCCCTAGTTCTCACTCATACAGCACAACACTAATGTTATGTCCCATCAATGCACTGTTTTTACAACTGCATCAGTGTCAGGATTCCCACATTTGAAGCAGCACTCAATGTCTGAGTAAGATAAATGCAGCAATCCTAAACAGAAACAGTTCCAGTTTTATTCAAGAGGGCATACCTCTACATAAATGGACTTCAGATTCCACTTGAAAGCAAGCAGTGCATTCAACAGTGGAAGTTTCAGTCCTCAGTGGTACTAAGCCTAAACATAAAACAGTAGGGCTGAAACTAAACGGTTGGCATACCCCATGGTTCATTTATAAGAGAGATAAAATACTACAGATTTTAAAGAAAAATGCTATAGACTGAGCATGGTAATGTTTACATTTAAGCTCAGCTCTCCTCTCAGTTCCCACGATAAGTAATCGATATCTGGAGTACTACATATGATTGCTGCTAGGGTCAAGTTTAAGTAGTCTACAAACTGCAGAACTTTATCCATCCCTTCCTGGTCCTTTTGTTGCTAATGCCCTTAAATCAGCTGCTCCTCTTCTAGTGGTTCTTCACAGCCACAGATGACAGAAAAATACAAATGACCATCTTTGCTCTTCAAAAGTATTAATATTTTATAATCAAAGAATTCTTTACTTGCTGAACGAACTGTTACAGTGTGATACCTAGAGGCCTTGTTACAGAAAAACATTTCATCTGAAACAGAACATACCATTGTCTGTCTGACATGATGTTTATATTCACTGTATTTTAATTAAGGGACTTATTTTACTGACAACTGTAAGGAGGTGTTTTGCAGGAAACTGGCCCTGGAATGGAGCACTGTTTCCTAAAAGCCAGCAGCTACACAAACCTCAAATGACTGTAGCTCACAGCAGGCCTTCTGCTGTTCAGCATGGAGCTATGTTTTAATTTCCTTAAGCCACAGGACACAAGTCTGAATTCAGACTGTATTTTGTCTGTGCTGCATACATCAGCCGAGACACAAACTTTCATATTTTATTATTTCAAAATGATACATGTCATGTTCTCTATATGTCAATGTTGTCCTGCTCCTCCCAAACCTTCCCAGTCTTCTCCGCCTACCCCCAGTTCTAGCCCTGCTATCATGGGTACTTATCTATTCTCCCAAATCTTCCCTGTGTCTTTAGAGCAACTTTTATATCACATGAGGAAAGGGTAATTTGATCACACCCTTTCCTTGATTCTATCCATTCCCTTTTTCAATTATCTGTAGTGCCCTCTCAAGTTCTATAATGGTAAGTTTTCATTTCAAAATATATTCAGATTTCCCATTGGAACAAAAGTTGCTTATCCTGGCACCACTCGAGGTCCGCTTCACACCACTCAAGGCATATTTGCAACAAACAGCTCTTTGACAAAAAAAGAACATCTAAATTCACTTGAGGCAGATACACGAAGTTTAATGTATTTTTTTGCCTGGATTTTTTTGCCTGGAGATACTCATGAGGAAGATAGCTGAAATGAGTGTAAAAACCGCTGTACTCATCGAGAAAAGAGAAAATGAATATGTTGGACTCTGTTTTGCTTTTGTCTGAATTTTTTACTATACTGCAAAATGTCTACAGAAATTATTAAATATGTCATTGTCATTTTATCACAGTGGTTTCTTGTTTGTTGGCATGTATCTGCACACTGTGACCCCTTATTATATCTTTTTAAACTTGGAGATAGTCTTCCCTGCTAAACAGGCATCTCCATGTTTACATGACAAACCACTGAAGAATCAAAATAATTCAGAAAATAAGCACTGCATTAAAAAGGAAGTTACTACTTTCAGCCATACTCCAAATATGTTAACGATTGTAACATTAAGTTTCTTCTGTTGTTTGCACACAGCACTTTAAGATTTCACCCAATATGTCCAGAAAGACCTCATTCACATCTTCCCCAGTCTGTAATGATTACAGTAAGAGCAGAGCTGTTCACAGCTGCTACAACAAACAATACGATCTGCACTCGTAGTGACCTGATTGACACTGTGAGGTTGTGCCTCAGATAATACATTCCTTGGAGCAGACCCTGAAATACCACGGTGTAGTAACAGCATGAGTTATTCCAAATACATAGACAACCTCTCATGCAACCTGACTGTCCACATGAATGCCTGATCTTACAGATCCAATTTGATGGATAAATTATACAGGAATATAAAGTCTCTGCACAACCAGCTGTGTAGGGAGAAGGGTCAGCTGGCACAGAATACAGGGGTGTGTTGGCATGTGTGGAGACTTGCATCATTCTTCCATTACAGTGTCTCAACAACCTATATTGACTTTATGAACCACAGTGGTTGGTTTATAGCAGGGGTGGCCAAACTTGTTTAACGTTAGATCCTCATAGAATAAACATCAGATGTTTGAGAGCCACAAGACATGAACAAATATAACCCATATGTTTTTATTGAAAAATATGCAAATTTGCTTTTCATTAACATGAAATGAGACTGCCAAAAATAAAAACAAAAGGGGTAAAAACAGATATTGATAATGATATTTAACTTTAGATGGGGAAGGAAATATATGGGGGGGGAGGGGTGGAAAGAAAGAAAGGGGAAGGGAAGACCGATTGGGAAGGCATGCCTCCCCTTCACTTCCCCAGCTGCCCTGCTGGGAGCCGCACAATATGTGCAAAAGAGTCGCATGTGGCTCCTGAACCGCAGTTTGGCCACCCCTGGTTTATAGGGTGACAGGAATTGAATACGTGATGTGAAAATGAAATGGCCTTCATCTCTAGACATTATGCGGAACATAATAGGAAACAATGCCAAGGAGATTCTGATAGTGAGAAAGGGCTCGGAACGTTCATATGAATAAAATGCAAATGTACTTCTAAATGGAAACAGCTGAGCCCTGGCACAAAATCAACATTTGCACATATAGCATTAGGCAGTATAATATCTAAAGATAAATGTTCACGATGGAAGTTATACACCCACCTGCTTTGAGATCCAGATTGAAGCGACAATATTTTGAGTGCTCAAGAGAGGGCAGGCATTGCTCAGTGGGTACCCAGACATACGTTTCTGGACACAGCAAGTCAGAAGGTCTATATTGGCCCTAGGAGGGAAAAAAGAAATAAACAGCATGCCTTTGGGGGGGGGGGGAAACGACCTCATTTTTTGCTCCAGGTTATGACTGTACTAGGAATAGAAATATTAAGCAATATAATTTAGCCACACTGCAAAGGTGAACAATATGTATCCCTTATACAAATCATACCTCACCCCATTTTTTAAGATTTAGTATGTCTAACTAATCGGGCTTCAGCACTGGCTCTTCTTGACTTGTAAACTTGCACAAGCATGAAGGTACAAGGACCATTAAAATCAAATTGTCTGTTGCTAGTTTTTAATATTTTCAAACGGAGAAACTCCCCCAGAGTGTTTTGTTTGCTTCTTCATGTTAGGAGTCTTCTTGGCATCTTAAAACTGAAATGGTACGTAATCTAATTAAGGCTGCATCACCTGCTTGTCTCCACTGCAGGAAAGCAACAAATTGCAGACTTTGGGGTTCTTCCACTGGTACCCAACCATCATCCTTTCCCCCTACCACTGATTTTTTGCACTTTACGGCAGCCTGATGAAAAGTTCTGGGGAACTCAAAAGCTGCTGCTTGGTATTTTTTGACAGTTTGGTTGGTCCTAATAAAAAGGTAGTGCAGTGGTGTCACTATACCCAGAAACACTGGTATACAAATGTACAAATGAGCGCGTGCACAGAATGATACTAAGCTGTTTCACTGGGGGGGGGGGAGGAATTCAGCCCAAACTTTCCAATATCAAAAGTTATCAGTTTTTTAAATTATTATTATTATTGAGGTTTTCAAAATCTCTCCAATGAAAACATACCAAAGGAACTCACTCTCTCTACATATACATACATACATACATATGAGCACACACACACACGTTTTAAAGTACTGCAGACCTATGTTTTGGAACAGGAGAACACTCACCAAATACATTTTAGACTGCTTAATGTGTGTGAGGGTAGGGAATGTGCTCTCTGCCAGTACAATCTAAACACAGTTTGTGAAAACTGAGTAGCTGAATTTACGTGCAAAGCACTCTCTTGGGGAAGATAATGCCTATCTCTGTTTATGTAATAAAATCAGGGAGCAAGGGCCCTGCTGTAGTACTTCACTGCTGGGATTCCATTGGTGTTGTCTTTCAAGGCCACGACTGAATTTAATAAACCCTTAGACTGCCTTGCCTTTTCTCATGGCTAGCCTGCCTCTGCCTTAATGCACTGCTGTTGATAATTCAGGGTTATTTTGTTTATGTAAGGACTCCTCTTTTAAGCAGCTGGCTGGAAACTGAGATGAAGGCTTCGTTAATTCGCTTTTAATAAAAGATCAATGGGGTTTATTGTGGAAAAATAGAACACAGATGTACGCTTTACCTGATAAAAGAATTAAATGTGTGTTTAACCTTTTCTGTTTGTTCTATGCTACTGGTACTTGACCCTCTTTGTTTTTTTGAAACGATTATCTTTCCTTGGAGCTTTTATTTTTCATATTTGGCTTAGTTTGTGAAAACAAGCTCTGCTGATATTCCTTCATCTCAAATACACACCAAATCCCTTAGATTTTTCAAAATATTTAAAAAGTAAATCTTCAGACTTAAGTTTCATTAAAACTTTTGGCCTAGTCTTGGAACAGAACTCCAGATATTTTTGATTTGGTTTGGAGCACAGAAACTTGAACACGAAGCAAGGCAAAGTGAGAATATTTCAATTACAGAACCTCAAGGCAGAACTGCCGACACTGCCTCCAGAAGTTTCCAATTAAAAATCCAGCCATACTTTACAACAGCCGGAATGAATGTCATATGTAAGGATTTTGCTTTCAATGTATCTTTTACAAGACGTAACCAGAGCTGAGAGAGATTGGTTGGATTTCTGGTTGGCACCAAGGAAGGGGAGAAAGGGAAGAACCAGGGAGTAATGAAATGCACTAAAATATGCCTCTAGAACAAAACAGTGTTGTGGAGTGACATGGTTAATGTTTGTTGCCTCTGAGCATTGCACTGCTATTAATAAAAATTTTAAAGGAGATATAGCCACAGCTCCATATATATATTATTTGGTATAATAGGATTTATAAGTGTTTCAGTTAACATTTTCTCTACATCAGCATGTTTGAAAAACTGAACATATCAATCCAGTTTGAACGTATTTTGTTTTTTGAAGCTTGGAGAACAGAGAACATTATTAAAATTAATTTTCAAAATTGCATTTAAACATATATAAATCCTGGTTTTCCAGAAGCAAAACAAAGGAAAGGTTTGTTGCGATTTTTTTAAAAGAACTTTCCATAGCCTCTGGTACAATCAGACATAACATTGGTGATCCATGACCAGAGCACCCTCCTCTTACTCCTCTGAACAGCTTCAGTGTAAGGGGATGCTGTCCCTTCTCATGTTCTGTAGCAGATGCAAATAGGCACTCTGGTGGTGCTATTTGGCCCAGCAGGCGAGAAAAATGGGAAAAGGACCCAGAAGAAAGATTACCCCTCTACCGTGCTAAGTGCTGATCCAAATCTCCCCCTTCCTCCCTAGACATGCTATTTAAAGGCCTCCAATTTTGTGCCTAGTTAAGTCCCACGTTTAAGCAATCCGCTCTGCTCATCAAGGAAGTGTGTACTAGAGAAGACAATTAGGACGGCTTCATACTAGTTATACTGAAGTTTTGGAGACTTTTTTGAATCTATATGGCACCCGCCCCCCAACCACATAGAAGCAAATGTGCACTAGCATGAATCAATTCTTCTAGTAACAGAACCACCACAAAGCAGCCACAACCCATCTTACTTTTTTCCGGCACTGTGATATTCAGAGTAACATGCTGCATATGTGAAATCATACTTGGCTACTTAAACTCAGCTGAAAGCTAATTCTTATCTTTGTGATGGGATAATCTATTACTTACTGAATATTACATCTGATGAAACAAACCTAGAGGAACTTTAGTATGTCAGAAATTCAGCCGGTGGTGAAACAAATCACCCACATTTTAACCTGACAGTTTATCTCATTTATCCGTACATGCTACTGATACTGAATCGAAGTCATACGGCAGATTATTAACATTTGCAATGTAAAAGTATCTGGTTCTACATGGCAAAAGTTAAAGAAAAACTGACAAAAAGTAGATAATGTGTCAATATTTCACAACTGAGGTTGAGTTCACTGCTTGAGGTTTTTGTAAAGTTACGTAAGTACTACAGATTTTTCAATGCTTTCCCATTTTAGTGATCTTCTAAAAACAAAACAGAACACAAAGGCTGAGAAATCCAAACACTGATTCTTAAAAAGAACTGCTGCTTGTACTTACTGTCACTCAGAGAGATTCAGTAATTCTTAAGAATCAACTGGGAGCAATCCTAAGCAGGTCAACTAAGAAATAAGCATCTGACAGTATTTGCATAGAGGCCAAGACCACAGGATTGCATGCACCATGACACACATTTTGGAATGGCTGAAAGCAGCCAGTTTCCCTTCAAAAACCATGCACTTCTCTATGACATGAAATGAGCTCATGCTCAAGCAGCTCCCACACCATGAAGATTCTGGGCAGGCTACAAACATTTTGCTCTGGTAAGAGCAGAGCCTTACACCTGCATGAGCCACCTTGTCTCCTGCAGCAAGGATCCAATCCAACATATATAAATCTAAGTTTAGACATCAGTGCACCATAAAAGAAATAAATAATATGGTGAACATTTTTTTTCAGTGGAGCTCTTTCCATGTTTTAACTAGCTAGGGAGCAGTGGCACAGAGGATTTATCCTCTGGTAAGTAACATCTGAGCTGAACAGTACGGCTGTCAGTTCTAGCCCCGTGTTGGTGTGAGCGACCAACCTTGTCCCTAGCTCGCCATCCACCCAGCGGTTCGAAAGCTTCGGCGAGTAGATAAAATGGGTACCACTCCTTAGAGAGGGTGGGCACACCAAAGACCCCTCCGGTGAGGGAGGTGTTAGCCGACGACCGGAATGCTCAGGTCGCGAGATTGAAAGCCTAAAGGAAAAAAAAATCTCTTCGACTCCGAGAAGCCTGTAATGGGCCGTTCCGGCCAGGCGGTGGCAGTGCGGCGCTGCAAGACCTGGAGAAGCTGACGTCATCTAGCCGAGCCGAAGTGAATATGCCGACGGGATACGTCTGACCCTGCAGCTGAGCAAACCCTCGCCGACTGTGGATGTGTGTGATTTTAAAAGATATATGTTGTCCTCCCTTACTCCCATAAATCAATGTTAGTCCTGCATGAATGAGTAACTGCAAATCGCTCAGAGCCAGCAAGCTCTGCAGGATTGAGCGATTAATAAATTGAAAGATTATTATTATTATTATTGGCAGTTTGTTAACCAACCTTCATTTTAAAAAGATATCATAGTGTGGAGAAAGGCTCTCCACTCAAGAATTCAGCCCAGTATTTCAATTATTGTAACTGCACTGTGTGTGTGTAAGTTTAGAACTGGCTGCAACCTAGTAGCTAGCAGGAGGGAAGGTGTCAAGGGATAAACTATCAAGCTCCAAGCATGGGGTACGTTAGAGCTTACATATGCTAATGGCTCTGGCCAAAGTAAGACAATGGTTTAAGATCTCACACCCTACTGGAGTATTGCACCCAAAGTGACAGAGACTACTAAAAGGCAAACAGTAGCCTCTTCCTCTTGAAGCAGGAAGGGCTGAATGACACCAGGATGGAGGTGGACTCTCCCTACAGAAGATTATAATTTATTTATATTTATTTATTTATAGATTTGATTTATACCCCGCCCTCCCCGCTGCGCGGGCTCAGGGCGACTTACAATCAGGCATAGGCCAGTATCAAATATAAAACATTATTAAAACCATTTAAAAACTCTACAATACAATAACATTATTAACAAAATTATTAACAAAAGTGCTCTAATCTTCCACAAAATGGCATATTCTCTAAACACAGATTAAGCAGCTGTCTTATTTTAACCTGTGACTTCTGACCAAGAAGGCACAAGTTACAAAGGTCTAAACCTTTACCACCATCTTGTCCTCATGGTAAGGGACAATGGGAAGCAGTC